GGGCGGCCCCCCCGCGCCGAGGAGGAGGGGGGCGCGGGCAGGGCTGGGGCTGAATGGCCCCGAGACAGCGGGAGGCTGATCGTGGCTTTTCATCCCCTGCCCGCAATTTCTGAGCCATCACCATCAGCGCTGGGACTGGGGTCACTGAACTGGCTCCTGGCCGAGAACCTTTCACACATTTTTTTTTTTTGCTTCACAGAAACTCTTGATTCTCGTGATGCAGATGAGCTCGTCCATCAGGTTTCCCCACCCCGCGAGGTGTTTACCGTGAACTTCCTGCACAGGCAGTTCGCTGGGATGGAACCCGCCCAAAAATACCTTGAGGATGAGGAGTTTTGGGCAGCAGAGCTGGTCACGAGGAGGGGATGTGAGGCCCTTTTGAAACCACTCTTTCAGGAAAAAAGACAATGCGATCAGAACGCTGGATTTAAGGTATATTTATTTTAGTGTTCCATGAAACCAAGAGGCATTTAAAAACAAACAGGTACCCAGGCTGAAAGCAGACACCACGAACAAGGAAAATACATTCCGATCCTTCAATAATAAAACAATACATTTGATTCTTAAGGCCCTTAGAGTCAAGGTGAAGCACGGACGTAAAATGCCGTCCCCTTACACCAAAGAAAGGCTTTAACTAGTGTTGCTCCTACCAGACCGAGGTACAAGCTCTGCGTGCGATCCGTGGACGTCGAAGCGTGACCCCACGGCAGGCTCCACGCCTGCAGCCACCACAGAACCACCCCGGGGCAAAAGCCAGACACAACCCGGGGTCCATCTCAACGGACACGGCTGCAGCTGGCAAAAAAGTTGCCAGGAGAGGATATTACAAGTTTTAAGGCTTCACCTCCGAGGAGAACACTTCAGAGCACATACCACGCTTCCTTTCTGCATCTGTAGCATTCTTGCCACCAGGAATGCACATTCCCCAGACTTCAGAGAATCCACGCTCCAAAGCATTGCAGGCAGCACCACAGTGCCTTCAGCAGCACCCATATTGCTTTAAAATGAGCAAAAAGCAAGAGTCCGGTCTTGCTTCCCACATGCCCAGTTACGACCACCAATAAAACCACTTATTTTGAACCGTTCAGCCGCCGTTCAAAGGCACAACTGTTTTTTCCAACTCTCTGACCTAGAACATCAGAGAGCTGTGGAAAAAAGTCGAGAAGACAAGTTTGTTAGTGAGGTATAGGCAACTGTTTCTTTCCAGAGATCCACTGAGGCACAAGGAGGGAACAAATTAATCCTTCATCTTCCCCACTATTTCAAGGCACAAGAAGCAGCAGCAGTTTTCAGCAAGGCCAACCAGTACCAGTCCAAATTAAAAACACCAGCCAAGAGCTGAAGATGCCACTAAGACCTGCGTTTCAGACCCGTCATTCACAGAAGAGGGTACAGTAGAAAAGAAATAACCCCTTCACTGAAGACATCCGCTCAAATAAAAATAAAACTAGAGAAAAGTACCTGAAGTCTTAGGAGACTCTTAATGCTTAAGGCTTGTTTCAGCTTAAGCTTCCTGTGAAGGACAGCTCTGTCAGAAAAGCTCCAGGCTTTGGTAGTTAGTCAGTTTACAGTAATAAAAAGCTAATCAACAGTATTTTTTTGAATTTTCCAGTGAATGTATACATCTCTAGGCAAATATATTAAACTACTTTTCACTACAAAAATACAGTATCTGAGAAGTCTCCAGCAGTTTTCAGTGTTATATATGAAACTATATGAAAATAGTTACTATAAGAAAATAGTAAGCAGCCTACGAAGAGCTTGATAGTCAATCAGCTGGTCTAGTCCCTTGATAAAGTGCTTTGCTGTAGAAAAATTGAGTGAAAAACTCACCCCTTTCGAGCTAAGCCAGGAATGACCCAAGAGACCCTTCCAACTTCAGAGGCAGAGGCACTGACTGTTTAGCAAAAGCAGCACTCAGCTCTGTGGAATTTTCATTCCACTCGGAGCAGCAAGTCACAAAGAAAACCAAACCAGACCCGAGCACCAGTGCTGTGACAGGGGAGGGCGGTTTGGTTCCTCTCCTGCCTGTGTCAGGAATGCACAGAAGGAAGTGTTGTAAGGCTGATCACCTTTGGAGGTCGTTCCAGGGTAAGCCCCAGCTCCAAAACCCAAGATATTTAAATTGAATAAACTGCAGTGGTGTAGAGGGAAAATCGTCACAGAACTCCCTTACAGCAAGGGACATGGGCCATGCACGTGTACTGTGAAATCACACCGAGTTAAGACTACAGGAGCCAGGTGTACCTTTGTCTCCCTCGTTTGAGCGACCTTTGAGTCAGGAATTTGAAGCCTGTAAGAGAACAGCCTCCGATTTAAAATGCACCTTTGGCCCCAGCTCATTGCTACCATTCCCATGGTAGCCAAACGTACCACGACACCTCAGTGTTCCCGATAACAAAAAAAGCCTGTAAACCTTCCCCTTGGAGAACCGCTCTGAAGCAATATGTACTTTATGAGATCAGCTAAGCTTTGCTTCTTCCTCTCCAGTCTAAGGTTTAACTTGCATTCAACTTTCAGGGCATTAATCACTTTTAAAATCCAGCCCACACAGCCCTGGTCTGAAGCACACATCTTTGGACTTCTCCAGTGTAGTTATTAATTTAAAAAAAAAAAAAAACAATCAAATCCTCAAGCACAGGTATAAGATTTCATATTGCACTACAACCTAAGATATGGAAAGAAGAGTAATCGATCTATCAAAGCTGCTACAAAACAAAAACATTTTAAAAAACAACTTCATAAAGGATCATCAGCGCCTTGCTGGCAAGCAAAACACATCAAAAACCCTTCATCCTTCCTACCACCATCAGTCTTTGGATTAGATACCTGAAACAATCTTCCCAGAGAATGGAAAGAAACCAAAAAAATAAATACAATAAGTTGACTCCACTTCTGGACTCCACATACAAGACCTGCTGTAACTACCAATCAAACTGAGAGTTGCTCAAGGCAGAAAGAGGAAAGAGGTCACTGTCTGTGGGCAGCACAGCTGATACCACCCACTTCACATCGTCTGCCGACTGATCAAACTCCGCTGGTGGGGATTCAGCCCTTGGTTCAAGCTTTCTCACATCTTTCCAGCTTTTTTGTTTCCAGACGTTGAAACACGAAGGATGTTGGGGGTTTCTTCCATGACTCTGACAAGCAAGTTGTCGATGTAATCTTCAAGCTCACGTACCTGGAGATCTTTCTTGGTAATTGTATCCTTCTGTTTCAAGACCAGCTGGATCAGCTCATCGTGCGTTAGCTGAGCATAAGCGTAGGCAGGATCTGAAGGGTCGTATTTCTGAGAGAGGGAGGAAAGGCAGGGTCATTACAGACATACAGGCATTTCCAAACAGCCACAGAACGGGAGCTGGGAGCTGGCTTGGGGGGATTTAAAGCACCAATGAACAACTTTACGCTGGTTTGCAGAACCACAGCTGCTTTTCAGAAGTATTACCGTGCTTTGTAACTTTTAATAAATAAATTCCATCCAAACCATGTTTCAGGGTCATCAGTCAGGATCAGGAAGAGCCAGCTGCCCAGAGCCAAGCTGCACAACAGCCAAGGCTCTGACGACAGGGTGAGGCTGGCAGGCCAGGCAAGCCTTCTGCTACAGAGCCCCTTGGGCCGTTAGCAAACCCAGCCTGGGAAAATCCATACAAAACACTACCTCCTCGTGCACTTCCAGAATGCGGAATAGCTTTTCAAAGGTATCTGGGGGAAAAAACAGCAACTGCCTCAGAGTCAGCCTGTGCTCCTTATGGCACAAAGACACGATTTACAGAGCTTAGGCAATCGTATCCAGAACAGGAGGCAGGCTCAGAGCGAGGGGGACGGTGACCAGGCCACTGGTTTTAGCATAAAATCTTTGCACAATGTCAGTTCTGAAATTCAACTCTTCTCCAATTTACTTTGAAAGAACGTCCTGCCAACCCCAGGGGAAGACACACAGAGTTTACAGTCCCGTGCCACCACCTGCCATCGTTTGCAGACGAGCACCGGGACAGATGCTGTTTAAAACACACCAAATTCAGGTCAAGCAGCAATAAACCTCTGAGGCCTTTGGCATTTCCTTCTTACTGTAGTTATCGCTGTGAGGACACAGCACAGCTTCTCTGAAAAGTCTGCTTTTAACTTTTAAGCAAATCTGACGGGCACTCAGCAGCTTCTGCCAGTTCCTCCCACCATCTCCTGGGACGTGAAACCAGAACCTCAGCCCAGGCTTTTCTCTCCCGGAGAGCATGTGTACAAAAGGCTCGCGTGGCTGCACCGGGCACCACATCTTACGCAGAACAGAATACTAATTACAAGTTTTCAACTCGTTCAGAATAGCAGCTCGTCAGTTTGATTCATCTCACTCGCATTTTCTTCCTTCCCACTAGCCGCCAGAAGGAGGCACTACAGTTATTTCTGCAAGTAGCTTTTCATTTTCCCCAAAAACCCCTTAGAGACAATAACGGTGCCCAGGGTTTTTCCCTGCTGATCCAGAGATGCTTCTAGCCATTCTGATCAGTGTGGCTTTTAAGCTACACCTCAAGCCTAGAGGTCTATTTTGAGGCCAAAATTATGCAAAAAGCTCCTTTAAATCTGCGTGATAACACAAGCTGCAGAGCTACACTGTCAGGAAGCAGCCATGCCTCAGTGGCAGGCGCCTGCTCTCTCAATCTGCACAGGGTATTAACGCAGCACATTTCAAGGCAACAGCCACCCCAAGGTTGCTCTCCCCACCTTCTCAGCTTTAAGAGCCACATACTTATTTTGGACTGAAAATGAGCTTTGGGGACTAATCACGTCTGACAATAGTGACCAATTTGTCCAATCCTCTGTGCAGATCCAAGTCAGGCAGCTCCCTGCACCAACAAGAGGCACCAATTCTATTACTGATCAGTTTGCAAGAAAAAAAAAATATTTAAAGACTGTCTCCACCTTTGGGAACTGACAAAAGGGAAGTTCATGCTCCCCCATGGTCTAATAACCACAGTTCCTTTCTGCTCAGGATATACGAGATGTGAGCCTATGCAAATTATCCTAATACACGAGCTCTGTTCAGTTTAATGCTTAACTTCTGGTTTAAAGTGCCACTGTCCTCCATACCTTCACGTTCACCTCGAGCAGCTTTTCATTCATCGTGCTGATGACATTCAGGTTTTTACTCTGAGACTTGTTTGCTGTGGCATTCATTGGCTTCACAGGATGGAGTCTGTAATGTTAAAACAGGCTCATGTTATTGAGGCAGTACACGTAACACCAGCACTACACAGATCTTCAGACTAAAAGCAAATATAGCAAGAAATTGGGGAAAATTCCTGCCCTTATCTCCAGAGAGATAAGAGATTCAGCTTCAGGAAGACAAAGCATTTGTGTCTCACCTAGAGGCGCTTTTTTTAAGTATACCCCAGTATTCTTTCTACTGTCCCTATTGATTTAAGGAGATAAAGCAGCAGTGACAAGGGAAACCCATCCCGAACGGTTCCTCGCAAAGAAAAGGCAGGTCTGTCTACACAAGAAGGCAGGACACGGCGGCAGTTCCTCGGAGCTCACACACTGGTGTTTGAGCCTGACCATCCTAACAAGAACACATTTGTGGTTCTTGCAACACATCAAATGCATCCACCATCCGGGGACAAGCACGTTTGATGCCTTTTCCAGTCTGAACTTCAGCCGTAAGCTGCCAAAAGGCACCCTCTTCATTTGCTCAAGCAGGACATAGTGCCAATTTTAGTACAGGAAGAACATTTTACTCGTACCTTGGCAAATGCTGGCCCAGAAGCGCCCCAGACCCCAGGGTGCTACGGACGAAGGGCCGGGGCTGGCGGGTCGGCAGCGCTGTGCCTCATGTCCCGCAGCACTGCAGGAGCTGCAGAGCTCTGAGGGCTTTAGCTGTGCCTCACTGCAAGGCTCAGGAGCCCCTTCGGGCAGGAGAGGAAGCATCCCGGTTTAGCAGCCTTCCCGGGACCGTTCTGCTTCTGACAAGGGCTGAACTGCAGCCCATTCCCCATTCAATGCAGTGGCCCTGTTTCTTAAACCATGACCAAGTGTCCCTGACATTTTCCTGAAGAGAATGTGATGAATGGCAGGTCCCCTGGAGCTCTGGGCATCCCTAATTACACCGATTTCTCTGGTGCCAGTGACGCTGACAGACCCACGGGACAGAGGAGGTTACAGCTGGACGATGCCAGGTCACTGCAGAGCCTAGTAAATCCCCACAGCTGGAGACAGCTCTGCCCTCAGAGGAAGGACACGCAGGGCTCACGCCAGCACTGAGACACTTTCGTGTTCTTCCCATGTTCTCACCTGTGCTTAGGAGACACGGTTTCACCACTCTGCTGAGTTTGGTTAGGGTATGTTTCAGAGGGTGAAACCCGTGCCTGAAGAAGCTTCTTCTTGCCAGAATTTCCTGCTTTATCTGCGAAGCCCTCGGCTGTTGGCTTTTTCGGAGACTCTGCTCTATGACTTGGGGTGTCAGAGAGAGGGAAATGAGAGGAAGAGTAGGGCTGGCAAGGACTTGACAGGGAGGAAGAGGAAGCAGAAGGCTCAAAGAAGTCACACGCTGCACGCTCCTCATCGCCTGCACTTATTTTCAGTTCTTGTTTCTCAAAATGACCACTACACCCCCTGGAATGAGACCTGACACCCAAGCCCAAGTCAGCTACCTGGTGACTGGCAGTGTGACCACCCGCCTGGGCAGGCAGCACAGGGGACCCGCTTGGCCCACCAGCACCAGGAGCACTTCCTCCTCCTCCTCCCCCCCAAGCAGCCGGGGTCACTTGGGCGCCAGCAGAGCGCTCTTGCAGCTCTTCATGCAAAGGCATTAAACCTAGGGACTGCTTTCCAGTCTCTGAAACGTTTTTATCACCTGCAGTGACACCACAGTTCTCCTGACAGTCACCCAGCAGCTCGTCATCGGAGCCTCCCTCCGGAATAACTGGAAGACCGGTCAGTTTGGAGCCATGGTCTCCAGTAAGGGGAATAGCAGACTTTAGATTTGTAAGACAGTCAAATAAATCATCCTCCCCTTCGTTTTTTAAATGCCTGTTAGTGCTGTCGTCTCTGAGCATCACTGAGGGAGTGACAGTCTCTAATGAGCCACTTTGGGGGAGGCACCCATGAGCATCTTCTGAGCCTTTATCATGAGGTAACGGGAGCCCAGGCGCAGATCTTGCGCCATCACCCGAGAAACACACGTCACCACTTAACTCACCAGCTGCAGAAACTGCTGAGCACTTGCTGGGAGTTACGGACAGCCGAGGTGCTGGCTCCGGGGCCCCAGCGCCAGTCCCCCCACCAACGGCTTCCCAAGGGGCAGCTCCCCGGGTCAGTCTGGCAGCTCCTCCTTGAGAAAATGAGTCATTTTTATCAAGTGGAGCTGCTTGGGGCTCTAACACAGGCACACACTCTTGCCATCTCTTTTCACCAAAGATCTCCTGCTTCTCTTTCAGCTCACTCTTGGGGGAAGGCAGCTCTTCAGCTCCCAGCTCTGGCAAGAGGCCACCCCTACCCTCGGAGAGAGACACGAAGCCCTCGTCGTCCTTTGTGCCGGGGTCAGTATTTCCACCCCCAGCAGCGGCCTCGCCGGTTCGGGTGGGACCTGTGCTGACACCAGAGAGCTCTGACCATGGGCACTGCCCCGCTTCCAGCCCACGAGCCAACCCTGCTCGCTCTCCTGCTGCACCTGAACCCATAAGTAACATTTCACAGAAATCAGAGCGCTGCCTCTCACCATCCTGCCCACCCACAGCCTCACCGCCTGCTGGGACACCCCCTGACCCATCGGGGAGAAGGGACAGGGATTTCCTGTTCTCTAGCTTCCCACTCCTCAAAGAACTCTCAACCTGAAGCTGGGGAGAATCGTGCTGCTTCTCTGGAGCCAGAGCAGGGCTGCCAGGTGCAAGAGGAACTGATCCAGCTTTGCCATTACCAGTTAAAGCCACGTCTGAAGAGCTCCTCGAAGCACCGCGACCAGAGCGCTTCAGCTCAGCAGGGTGCTGTGCTGAGGAACAGTCTTCATCATGAGGAAAGCAGAAAGGGGAAGAGCTGGCAACAGCTTCGAAACCTGGCGCTTCTGCTCCCCACCCAAGCTTGGACACAAAGGGATTATTGTCATTAAAATGACAATCAGAGGGGAGAGAAGGAGCAGGCAGGCAAGAGGGACCCTGGGAAGGTCCCGTATCAGAGCTTTCGGGACTGTGGCCCCAAGAGCTCTGCCCCCACTCAGAAGCAAAAGGATTATTCCCACTACCAGAGACCTGCCCAGGAAGAGGCGCTTTGGGAACAGGGGCTGCAAGATGATGGGATGGAGGGAAATGGGCAATTTGTTCAGGATCCAGGGCTGTGGATGCCCGGTCCCACTTGGCAGTAAAGGGGTTCTTGCCATTCAGCAGCTCTGCAGCAAAAGGAGAAGTAAGAGATGCAGAACTAGTAATGTTCTCAGAGTCTGGCACTTGGACTTTCTGTCCCGTTTTAGAAATAAAAGGATTATTGTCACTACTGATCCGGTGTACAGAAAGAAAAGCAGGAAGGGAATCAGGTGCAAGAGTAGGAAGCGTGGCTTTGGTTTCCTCCTCTGAAGACACGCCCAGTCTGTAAAAAGGGACAAAAAACTCGCATGTCACTTGTGGATGCAACACGAGGCAGGAACAGACAAGCTTTAGCACCAGACTCCATCAACTCCTAACGCTGGAGATGAGTTACACTTGCAAGGGAACCCAGAGCCTATCGGACAGACTTTGCACACTTAAAGGCGTCTCTGCAAAGCGCTCGGTTTATGTCAGAGCACTTCTGCTGTAGAGTTCGCAGAGTTACTGCAGTAGCACTGTCTCATCTTTTGCACCCCAAGCAATTAGTATGACACTTCATATACAGGAGGTTTAAACACGAGAAGAACTGAAAATAAGGAGTTAGAAAGAGACACAAAATGTAGCCTTATTAGTAGGACACACCCATATATATATAAAAACCACACGTGTTTTTATATATATATATATATATATATATATATAAATGAAGGATAAAGGAGCAGAATTTCCGAAAAAGCCTCGTGTACCAATTCACACAAACACCCTTCACGTTGCTGTGAACAACAGCAAATGCAGAAGGGCTCCTAGATTAACACTTTGGAAGACCGCAGCCAAACACAGAAGAGAAAAGTAGAGACGTTAGAACTGGTATGTCAGCCCCTGGGTAGTTCGGGCCACACGGCTCAGAAGAACGTTAGTTTCTGCAAAAGATCCAGCAAGAAAAGTCACCCCTACGGTACCTGCAAAGATGCTTGCGCTCAGAGAACCACTATTTTGGCATCACTTACACGGAGCACTTACCCCTCTATGGATCTCTCTCATAACGAGAAAGAACTCAGAGTTGTTGTTTGTTATCAAAGCGCCCAAAGGGCAGGTTCAAACCACGAGCACCCTGCGGGGCAGGCAGGACACTCTGGGGTGGGAGCAGCCCGGTTAAAGCCTGCAGCCCCCGCGGCTCATTACGATTTGGATCAGCCTCGGAAGCAAACGCCACTGACCTGGGCTTGACAGCTTTGGTCTTGGCCGGCGCGGGAGCTTTCTCAGGTTTCCGTTCTTCCTCGAAAGGGTTGAGCGGCTGCTTATTTGCAAAGACCTCTTCTGCACGGTGACTGTCTTCTGAAGGATTCCCTCTGTTTAAATCTGCTGGAATTTCAGGATGTTTGGCCTCTTGTTCACTCTTTGCTTCTGGAACTTTGTTCTCCTCATCCTGCAGGATCCTGCCAGGAAGATTCTCAGTGTCACTGGTCTTCACCGTCTCCTTCTTCCCAGTGACCAGGGAGAGCAAGGCAGACTTTTTGTGGTCTGTTTTTTTGGTCTCTTTAATAACCTCGACACTTGGAGGAACGCTGGTTTCCAGGTATTCTTCGCTGCCAAGCAATCTGTATGATGGCAATGTCATAGATTTGAAGGTCTCCAAGGATGCAGACCCAGAGAAGGCGTGACTAGGAGATGTTCTTCCCGTCTCTTCAGGTCCTTTAGCAGGTCTGGAAGACAGGTTCTCTTCCGAAGCAAAGAGCTGCTTCCTCCTGAAGTTGTGTGGAGAGGGGGAAGAGGCTGGAGTGTTGTCCTTCGTCGTGCTCTCTTCCATATAAACGTGACTGCCATTGATACACAGACTAGACTTGGACACGGGATCGCTTTTGGATTTAAGGCCACTAAACAGAGAGAGCCCTTCTCTCCTGGTGTGGTTAGTGGCTACTTGGTTGAGTTGCCTGCTGTCCAAAGTAGCTGTTTTACGAGATTTAAATACAGGAGGAGAGGACTTCTCTTCCAGGGCATTTCCAAAGGCTTCTGGAAGAAATAAACAGGGAAAAATTCAAGATGTGAGAACATTCTTTCCTCTGACACTCACTGCTGACCTCAGCACTTCACCATCACTAACAGACTGCGGCAACAATCCCCAGCATGACTCTACCAGCCGCTTCCAAACCGTCTGGGTCCCCAACCCCGCCAGCCCTCCGCAGACGGGTCTCACACGCCGTTCAGTGACCTAAAACCACGACAGAGCACATCCCGTGGGCCGCCCAGCCAGCGCCGCGTCCCCCCAGGTCAGCTTGGCTGCGCCTCCTGCCCGCCGTGCACACAAGTGACTTTCTGCAGGTTTGTTCCGCAAGGAGAATTTAACTGGTGCTCTGACAAGCGCAGGGAAACCTCTGCAGAAAGGCTTTGTGCTTCTCCAGCACAGCGAGCGCCGATACTCACTGTCGGAGGTTGGAGAGGTCTCGGACTCCTCGTCGTCCCACTGCGACTGGAAGTCGCTGGGCCGGAGCCGAACCCTCTCGGTGACGGGCTGCTGCGTCGGCAGGACTGACATGGACTGGGAGAGGGAGGTCTTCTGCAGGCCAGGTTTGGAAAACAGGGTTTTGAACTTTGATTTCTTCTTTTCCTTCTCGACTGATTCATCTTCGCTGTCAGCAGGAGAGTGAGTGGTGCTGGGAATGATCGCTGAGGCTGTGTCGGAAAGGCCACTGCTCCTCTTCCCCTTGAGCTTGTCCTTGAGCTTGCCGAAGGGAGAGCGAGACTTGTCTTTCATGGACAGATCAAACATACTGGCTGTCATGTTGCTCCTCATGAACTGGATATCCACTTCGATCTCCCCTCTCTCCTTTTCCTTCTTCCCTGGTTTGGAGCGAAGCTTGTACCACCTGCAGAAACAATGAGATTCCTTTTAGAAACCAGTTTTTGAGAGGCACGGGTAATTTAGAACAGAGAGCGTTTATGTTTTAAAAATCAAGTAAGTCTACAGTGTTAGGAAAAAAAAGAAAAGCCTTTAATCTTACAACTACGTCATAATCATATGGCCTCAGGCACCAAGGAGAACATTTCTTATCGCAAATAGAAAATTAGCAAAATTTGTTTTAAAACCCAGACCAGGAAGGGTTAAAAAAAAGAAGAAAAGAAACACAACATGGAATTCCTGTATTTCAGCTCAGCTGCCCTCTTCTGTGCTTTTATCTGGCTTCCCGAAACCCGCAGAGGCTTGGACTTTGAAGTGGGTTCGAAAGAGAGCTGACCTGGTACCAGGGAGCTTGCACACACGTCCCACGCCCTCATACCTTTCATTCCAGCCTCTTTTCAGTCGCTATCTTAATGCCTCTTAAGCTAAGAAACCCCTAATCAACCAAAGGAGAGGCAGACCAAGCCTCACAGACGGGCTGGGGATTTCCACTCGCCTCTGTCAGCTGGGGACTGGAGTGCACCAGGAGGGACATTCCCCACAGACACAACCTTCCCCCTTTTCTGAAAGGCAGCTCCACAACATCGAGCGCTGCCCGTTAAACACGCGCTCAGGATATCCTAAACTGCAAACCCACCCATCCATCACACGTGCCCGATCCACCACTCGGTAACACTCAAACCACAGTAGGGCTGGCAAAGAAAATTATCGGCGCTGCGCCACCAAGATTTTCTGTCTATTGCTGGAGCCACAGAGCTCCCAACTCCGCAGAACCGGTAGGAAAAGCCGCCTGGAAAACACCAGCGTCTCCCTCCTCACTGGCTGCTGCACGGAAAATAAAGGAAGCGAACAGAGCATGACCTGCCTCTCCATCAAATTTGCAGCCCCGTCCTCTGAAGGCATCCTGGAAGCACTGACAGAGAGTGGGAACAGGGAAGCTGCTTCAGAGACAATTCAAAACTAATGAGCATTGACTGGGGGAGAAGAATTCCAAAAGTGCTGCTGAGAAACACACAAGAGGGTAACGGACGCTCAGGCACCACGCTACAGCCGATGCTCAGACCTGACGCCAGCACCAGGGAAGGGATTTTATAAGATGTTTGGCTTTGTCAGGTCCACGCGGCCGCAGTCCCGCAGTGCCAAGCCAGCACGGGGCACTTTTGTTCTGAAGCGCGTGATTTCTGGGAGCATCCTGCGTTTGTACGGTGCCACAATCCATTCTGCACGCTCTCTGCCCCGGGGAAAGAGCAGGCCCTGCTCTGACAGCACCCAAAATGCAAACTACGTGTTCAGCGAAAGGCGGCTTAGCCCCGACACGAGGCCGTCACTCGGAGGATTGCGGCGCCACGTCCACCTCGGAGAGGCTGAAAGCAAATAACGTACTCACAGCCTCCCCGCCAAACCTCCAAAATATAGAATCTCATTAATTCGTTACGTTAGTGTGCACCTGCCAATCAACACATGTTTATTTTCCGAATAAAACCAGCCCTTTATGGCTGTACATCACGGCAGCTAAGCAATGACAAAAGAAACGGGCTCCAAACAGGAAACCAAGGGCTGGGGGGGACACGACACCAACAACTGGAAAGATCAAAAGTTTTCCCAGGAGCATCAAAGTTATATTTTTTCGCCCCCCTCAATTTTCCTTTGGCCCAGGCACAAAGAAAGGAGCAGCCTGGGATGACCCAGGACGCTGGCCTCGCAGGGCTGACTCCCTGACCCCTCCGCACTGTAAACACATCAGTGCCTGACACAACCTTAACGAAGGCTGCGCTGTAATTAAGGCTTCATAAACCCAGACGACTCTGTCAGCCGTCAGGAAACACGACGCAGATCTCAGCGTCGGCTGAGCCGGTGTTAATACCTGGATCTGCTCGGGTGAGCAAGAGGAAGGTGACTCACCTGCCACCACAAGCCACATTACAAGGCTGGTGACTCCCAGTAAAACCCTCCCAGTAACCGCCCCGGGAACTTGGGCACAGCCGCCCGTCTGCGTTCAAAGGAGCAGGTATGACACAGAGCTGGCGCTCGGCGCTGAAGGAAATGTCTCCCAGGTCGGTGTCAGCCCGTGGGTTACTGACTCTCACACGCGCTCTAACTATTTATTAAAAAAAACCAAACATCACAGCTGGCTGCCGCCTGCCAGGCGAAAGCGTTTCAAAGACGTGAAGTTCCTGGGGTCAGTCTGGCCGTTCCCAGCGGCCGCTGCCGGCGCTCCCAGGGAAAGAGTTCAAACCTCAAGCCAAGCGCGAGGCAGAGCTGCCCGAAAAGCCACCGGACAGCAGCCACAGGTGCCAGGACCCCCGAGCTGTGGGACCCTGCCCCGAGGGGTCACCCCATGGGCCCTCCCAGGGCATCAGGGGGTCCCCGTGGGGCACAGGGGTCCCCTAAGATCCACACACACCCATGGGGCACAGGGACATCCCACAGGGAACTGGGGTCCCCCCATCCCTCTCCCCTCCCCCTGTGGGGCACAGAGTGACACCCCCCCCCAATCCCTCTCCCCAGGACCCGGGGAGCACACAGGGCCCCCCCAGTCTCTCTCC